ATGCTATAAATTAGAACATTATTGGGTCAATGACAAAACTAGAATGACAAAACTGGAATAGTAGAGTAAGAAACTTTTGCATGTTAATGTTAAATTTATGAACTTAGTCATTGTATTGTGGTTATGTAAGAGAATATCTATATTCTTAGAAAATGCACACTGAACTATTTAGGAGTAGAAGGCCATGTGTATGTAACTTAGCTTCAAATTATACAACCCCCACAAACATAACAGAGCAAATTGTTTTTAAAATACTTGTTTGTTTATTTATTTGGCTGTGCTGGGTCTTAGTTGTGGCATCTAGTTCCCATGCCCCCTGCACTGGGAGTGTGGAGTCTTAAACACTGGACCACCAGGAAGTCTCCAGAGCAAATGTTAAAGAGGATAAAAATGTTGACAAGAAATGAACCTCAGTAAAAGTATATGAATGTTCTTTATGCTATTCTTAGTCTTGCAAATCTGTGTAAATTTGAATTTATCTCCAAAAAAAAAAAAGGTTAAAAAAATTTTTTGAGATCTAAAATTCTGGACAACAATATCAATATAAGTAGAACTGGGGAGATAAAGTGCTCTATGATCCAGGTAGTGTTTGGTCTGAAGATTAAACTTTTAATTAAACTTCAGATCTGATTTTTTACAGTGTGCATGATAAAATTTCAAGGATTACTCCTGAAAGAATAGAAATGGTGCCTAGATTCCAAATTAGTGGAGGGAAAAGGAAGAGTGAAAAAACACAAGACAAAACAAACAAACAAAAAACGCAGTCACTTCAAAGAAGCCGGGGCTTCCCTGGTGGCGCAGTGGTTGAGAGTCCGCCTGCCGATGCAGGGCACACGGGTTCGTGCCCCGGTCCGGGAAGATCCCACATGCAGCGGAGCGGCTGGGCCCGTGAGCCATGGCCGCTGAGCCTGCGCGTCTGGAGCCTGTGCTCCGCAACGGGAGAGGCCACAACAGTGAGAGGCCCACGTACCGCAAAAAAAAAAAAAAAAAAGAAGCCTTAATGAGGGTGGGGGGGGAGCATAGAAAAAAATGGGGACAATAAAATCACACAGTATGATGGTTGGAGCGAATAAAATATATCACTAATCACACAGAGAAAAATTGTATTCCGAGCCTAAACACTTCCGACGACCCGTGTCCCACCCTCCTCCCCAGGCTTCCTGCTCCCACCGCTGCCCCACCCCCCCCCCCCCACCCCCCCGGTCCCTTTCTCAAGCAGCTAGAGGGACTCTGAACACCCAAGTCAGATCCAGTCCCTCCCCTGCTCCATCTCACTCAGAGTAAAAGCTGGAGCCCCCTCTGCAGCCGATACGACTCTGCACCATCTGCTTCTGGTTTCGTCCCCCGCCCTCTCCTCCCCGCTTAGTCCTCTCCAGGCACATGGATCTCCTTATTGTTTCTCTGAAACACCAGACATGTTCTCACCTCAGGACCTTTGCACTGGGTGTTCCCTCTGCCTGGGGGACTCTTTCCACTTGGCTCACTCCCTCGCCACCAGTGGAGAACGGATAAATAAACTGGGTACAGCCACACAGCGGGATCCGCAATGAGAACAACCTATGACTACACGCGATTACAAGAATGAGTCTCACACTGCCGTTGAGTGGAAAAAACCAGATACTCGAGATAATACACATTCTGCTTCTATTTACGTTAAATTCAGAACAGGAAAAAACAGTCTATGCCGTCAGAAGTCAGAATGAGGGTGACCCTGATGGGAGGGCAGATGCGCTGAAAGGAGCCAAACTGTCTCTTGGTCTGGGCGCTGGTGACCGAGGTGCATTCAGCGGGCGGAAATTCACCCTGCTGAACACTTACGGTCTGTATGTACTGTTTTGCATGCACGTCGACTTCAATAAACAGCTTCAAGAAACAAAACAAACGAAAACAAAATGGAATGAACCTCCTTGTTCCCACCACCCAACTTAAGAAACAAGACATTTCCGGCCCTCAGGCCCCTCTCTCCCAACACAATGTGCTTTTATACCCGCACACCCTGCCCCGCCGCCTCAGTTCCCTTCTTCAGCTTACTAAGCGCATCTTCCCACTCAGAACTCAGGCAGCGAGCGGGCCGGGGCCAGGGCACAGGGCCGGGGCCAGGGCACAGGGCCGGGGCGGGGATGCATGCGGAGGGAGTCTTGTAAAGGGAGAAGGAGGGATGGGATTTCTGAATCCCATCCAGGCAGCGGGAAGTAATGCTCCTGTGATACCCTTGCCCTTAGTACTGACGGGCGGGGTGGGGCGGGGCTCGCTTTGCAGCGTGGCCCCCAAGTGCTCAGGGCCCAATGTCTGGACGGTGGGACTCAGCGCTGAGACTCCCTGTAAAGTAGCCACTGGAAATGCAACCTGCTTGCATGCACGCTCTCTCTTGGTTTCTCTCTGTGTCTCTTTCTCTCTCCCTCCCTGTCTCTCTTCCTCCCTCCCAATCTCTCTCTCTCCTCAAGAAGAAAAAAACTCACAATTATTTACATGAAGTTTTATTACATCAGACTGTAGCCAAAGGATCCAAGTTCCAACTCTGAATCTTTCAATAAACTTTGAATAAATAGCAGTGCTACTTTTTCTTTTTTGTACTATAATATTTATTTTTAAATTCTTTTTTATTGGCATGATTTTATATATATATGAGGTTTGAGAACAGTTCAGCCTTTGCATCTCTTTTCTGGCCATTAATATTGTTTATTTCATTTCCTCATTATTATGGGAAATAATCTTTTTTTAAAAAAATTTATTTATTTATTTATTTTTGGCTGTGTTGGGTCTTTGCTGCTGTGCACAAGATTCCTTTAGTTGTGGCGAGTGGGGGCTACTCTTGGTTGCGGTGCGCGGGCTTCTCATTGTCGTGGCTTCTCGTTATGGAGCACGGACTCTAGGCGCGCAGGCTTCAGTAGTTGCGGCACGAGGGCTCAGTAGTTGTGGTTTGCGGGCTCTAGAGCGCAGGCTCAGTAGTTGTAGCGCACGGGCTTAGTTGCTCCGCGGCATGTGGGATCTTCCCGGACCAGGGCTCGAAGCCATGTCCCTTGCATTGGCAGGCGGATTCTTAACCACTGCGCCACCCGGGAAGCCTGGAAATAATCTTGTATGGGGAATGGAGGCACTTGGCAGGTCTCTGTGATATCCAAGGACACACTAGAGGGTGTGGTGACATTTAGGAAGCTGGGGGTTGGGGGGAAGGTGCTGAGGGGGCCCAGGTGACCCAAAGGAAGGCTGGAGGCCAGGCAAGCACCCAGATGGGACAGGCCCTGTGGACTCTGGGCTGGAGGAGCGGGTGAATTCCAGTCCCACGGAAAGTAGAAACCACGGAATGTAGAGTCATGTTGGCTGTGAGGGCGAAGGAGGAGAGGATGTAAGGAGGGCATGGCTGCTCTGTGCAGGCCTGGTGCCCGGACAAGGAGATGGCTCAGCCTGGGGGGCTGTGAATAAAGAAGGAAGGGCAGGTCAGACTAAGCACTGCTGTCACTGAGAGCTTCCTGGGCACCCTTCCTTACTCACTGGGTCCTCACAGCACCCACCTTACAGATGAGGAAACTGCCTCTCCAAGAGAGGAAGACCCCCAAGCCAGAGAGCAGGGCTGGAGCAGAAGACCCCCAAAGCATAACCCTTGCTTTGAAATCTTAGATAACTTCAGGGCTTCAACCACCTCCGATTACTGCTTTTTTCCTCCCAGTAGAAAAAAAGAAAAAATACAGAAACACAAACACACTTGATTACAAAGCCTGAGGGAATGTTTGGAGTGACAGAACTGCCATGAACCCTGCTTGTGGTGGTGGTTATACAATTCTCTGCATTTATTAAAATTCATAAAACAGTGTACACACACACACACACACACACACACCCATGGATGACTTTTATTGTTTGTAAACAAGAATATTAAAAAAAAAAACAGTGAATGTACTTTGTATCTCAATTCAAAGACAACCACTGTAAAGAGATGTTTTTGAGACAGTTGGGGGAAACCTGAATAAGGACTGGCTGTGAGATGACATTTAAAATTTTGTTAATTTTGTTAGATGTGATAAGGCTTTGGAGTTATGTAAGGAAATGCAGCCCCTCACCCCTTTACTTTGATGTTCACTGTGGTATTTAAGAATGGACACGATGTCCATCACTTGTATTTTTTTTTAAGTATTTCCAAATAGAGGGGAAAGGTGATGAAATAACAAAATGTTGACAGTTCTTGAAGCTGAGTGATGGGCCCATGTGAGTTTATTGTCTCTCTGCTTTTGGTAGCTGTCTGGAAATGTTCATGACCTAAGTTAAAATTTTCGAAAATAAAATTAAAAAGAAGAGTTCGTTGTTGGTTAAGCACAATTTGGAAAATACAGAAAACTAGAAAGACAAAGATACCTCTTCCCTAATCCCACATCACTACTGTAGTTAACATTTTGATGTATTTCCTTTCAGCCTTTTCTATTTTATTCAGGCTTGAAAAGTGGTGTGTGTGTGTGTGTGTGTGTGTGTGTGTGTGTTTTACATAACTGTGTGAGCAAATTGTTTATACAGTCCTGCTTTTTCCCCTCTTAAAACATAAGCTGTTCCCTTGTTAAAACATCTTTGCATAAACACAATCTCTAATGTTTGCATGGTGTTTACTCAACAGGGCAGTGTTGCCAGACATTGAAGCTGTTTCCAATTTCCTCCTATTATAAATAATGCCTCGATGCACATCCTTGTGCGTCCCAGCGGTGGGATTGCTGGGCCAAAGGGTGCGGATCCCCTGGCAACTCACAGTCAAAATCTCCATAGTGTTTCTGCCTGACCCGAAGCTGAAATGACCTCATACGGTTAAAGTTGAGATTTCACTGCCATTTGTTATTTCCTAAAGTTTGATTCATGACTAGAGTTCATAAGAGGGTTTTTTTTCTTCCCCCAGTTGTAGGAAACAGAAATCCATTCACTCTAGCACATGTCAAAAGGGGGTTGCGTCAGTTGGCAAGTAAAGCTAACATTCAGCTTTTTTAACCTAAAACAATAAAACAGCCAGGAATTTTACCAGCAAAATGGGTTTATTTGGGAATAGCAGAGAATTACAATTTGGGACGTGGACTCTACGGTAAAGCACAAGCAAGTGGGGAGAACAAAGGAGAGGCACATTCTCTTACAGAGGAGAAGGGAGCGCTGGGAGGGTCTGTTATAAACTGAGTCCGGTGGAAGAAACCGGGAGCTTTAAGCTTAATCGCTTTTCTCTGGCTGAGTTGTAACAGTCTCCTTTTAGTGGCTGGACCGTTGCTGGGCAAGAAGAAATTTTTCCTTCCTCCTGATGGGTAGTAAAGCAGTAACCTTCTTCCTGTTGAAAGTAGAAAGGTACATCTCTTCCTGTCCAGTCTATAATTGTCCTGGAGAGGCAGGGCATGACAGCTCTCCCTTCTGGCCGCCCAACTTCATTTTTTTTTTTTTTTTTTTGCGGTATGCGGGTCTCTCACTATTGTGGCCTCTCCCGTTGCGGAGCACAGGCTCCGGACGCGCAGGCCCAGCGGCCACGGCTCAGGGGCCCAGCCGCTCCGCGGCACGTGGGATCTTCCCGGACCGGGGCACGAACCCGTGTCCTCTGCATCGGCAGGCGGACTCTCAACCACTGCGCCACCAGGGAAGCCCCCAACTTCATTTTAAATGAGGCTTCTGTTTATTCATTTTCACAGCTTGGACAAGCTATCTCGCTACGTTGATGGTTGAGATACTAAATTATTTCTGTATCGGTTGGTAAATCATGCTGCCTCAAGATCTGCACATTTTCCACCCTGGGACCACTCTAACTTCCCCTTCACCCCACTTCCCAGACCTCCCAATACAGGGGGGAAAAAGCCTTAATGTCAGGCACAGCAATGAAGCCTTCTGATCGCTCAGTACCCAAATCACTGGTTGTTAAATATTCTGATTAATCTTGGACACAAGCAACAGAAGAGCTGATTCAGACGGCTTAAACTGTAAAGGAAATTTGTAACTGGAAATTCCACACTTGGCTGGCTTCAGCTAAAGTTGACACATCTGTTCAGCAGTGTCACCAAGGACCCCATTTCTTTTCATCCCTCTGCCCCACCTTTTCCAGCGGCAGTTCCCAAGATAGCTGCCAGCAGCCTCTGGGCCAGAGGGACCCTCATTCATATCCCCCAGGTAAAGGGGAGCACCTTCGTCTCAGATTTCCCCAACAAAGTAATAAGGCTGACTCTGACTGTCCAGCTGAGGTCACACGGCCGTGCCAGAGACAATCACTGTGGCCTGGGGTGGACCCAAATGCCCAGACTGGCTGAGCCAAGTCACATGTTCCTCAACAGTAATGCCCTTTGCTTGAAGCCACAGCCGAGGTTCAATCCAATTCCCGATGTTCTCCCTCCTTGCTTCCCGTAAAACGGAGATAGTAATGACAGTCACTTCCTAGGGCTGCTGTGAGGATTAAATGAGTTCATTAACGCCAAGCACTTAGAATGGTGCTCATACACAGAAAGCACTTAAATATTAGCTGCTGTTATTGTCAACAGATGCTAATTCTCAGCTCTCCAGGCTGCAATTCTCTGCAAGCTCCTTATTTTCTGTACTCCACCCTCTTTCTACTTACCATCGCTAGATGACAAATCTCTCCAAAACACGGTGGCTTAAAGCAACAACAGTAAGCCTTTTATCTCTCACCATGTCTGTGGTCAGATTTCTGGGAAGGGTCCAGCTGGGCAGTTCTGCCTTGGGATCCCATATGGACGTAATGAGTTGGTGGCTGAAGCTGGGACAGTGGGGTGTCCCAGTTGAGGTACCAGCTGGGGGTGTGTGGGCAGCTCTCTCTCTCCTTGTACTCACAGGGCTTCTCCACGTGGTCTCTCCATGTGGGCTGGTTTGGGCTTCCTCTAATCATGGCGGCCTCAGGGCAGTCAAAGTTCTTCCATGGCAGCTCTGGTCTTCAGTGTCTCTGTTTCATGAAAGAGGCAGAAACAGCCTCACCTCTTCTGATCTAGCCTTGGGGCTCATGCAGCATCACGTCTGCAACATGCTACTGGTTATAAGCAACTCACAAGCCTGCTCAGATCCAAAAAGAGGGCAGGCAAATCCCACTTCTCATGAGAAAACGACAGTGAACTAGGTGAGAAACGTCCTGGTAATATTATGAAAATAATTTTAACCTTGTGCACAAAAGGTCTTGGGGACTCCCAGGGTACCCTGGACCAAACTTTGAGACCTGTTCTAAAGGCATGTATAAGCCTGGGATGGCTAGACATTCAGAACGTGCTGCAGTGTACAGGACAGTGCAGCCTCAAATGTCCAAAGTGCCCCTTTGGATGGACTGGTATCTCTTTGATCCAGTTATCTAGGACCTGGAGCGGGGGCTCTTGTGTATAAACAGGGTTGGGGGGGGTGTGGTGGGGGAGGCATCTCAACTACAATGTTCAACTTGGTACTAAATGCTGGAAACTGGGAGTTCCCTGGTGGCCTACCGGTTAGAATTCTGGGCTTTCACCGTGGGGCCCGGGTTCAATCCCTGGTCGGGAAACTGAGATCCCGCAAGCCACGGGGTGTGGCCAAATAAATAAATAAATAAATACTGCAAAATTCAGACATACAAAGAGACTCTGGAGCTACTGCCTGGGTTCTAATTCCCACTCCATCCCTTCCTTGCTGTGCAACTCTGGGCAAGTTCCTTAACCACTCTGTGGCTCAATCAGGAAAATGGAGACAATAACAGTATCCACCTCCCAGGGTTATTATGAGTTACCTTGGCTCATAGTAAGTGTTACAAGAGTGTTTTCTCTGAGTATTACTGTTACTCCAGTGACCATTCACATCCAAGAGGCCATCGATGGTAAGATGTGTTGTTACTTCAAATCACCAGGAGAGAAAAAAAACCTGCCAGTTAAACTATGACCGACGAGCGTTGTAAGCTGCATTCTGATTTCAGAGGTGTTAACAAGCAGGGGAGGAAGGGGTCAATAAAATATGGTTTTATCGTGTGCACATGTGCATGGAAGCATTTAACAGTGAGGACGTCCACCATAGCGCTGTTTATAGCAGCAAATCATGCTCAAACTCCCACAACCACAGATCAATCACACTAGTTATGGGGCAGCCACAAAATGTGAATGAAGGCTTTTTCAGAGATTGTTCCAAAACCCTGCGGCTCCTCAAAAGTGAATCTCCCTCTTTCATTCATTCTTTTTTTTTTTTTTTTTTTCTCGGTACGCGGGCCTCTCACTGCTGTGGCATCTCCCGTTGCGGAGCACAGGCTACGGACGCGCAGGCTCAGCGGCCATGGCTCACGGGCCCAGCTGCTCCGCGGCACGCGGGATCCTCCCGGACCGGGGCACAAACCCGCATCCCCCGCATCGGCAGGTGGACTCCCAACCACTGCACCACCAGGGAAACCCTCTTTCATTCTTTCTCATCTCCTCTCTCTATCCCATCCTCTATCTCTGTCTGTCTCTCCTCTATGGCTGCAGAAAGTAAATAAAAAATAAAGCTCTTCTACAAAGAAAAATCTCTGGAGGGAATCCCCCGGCGGTCCCGTGGTTAGGACTCCGAGCTTTCACTGCCGAGGGCCCAGGTTAGATCCCTGGTTGGGGAACTAAGATCCCACAAGCCACGTGGCACACTCCACCCCCACCAAAAAAGAAAAAGAAATCTCTGGAAATAAACACCCCGACCCAATCTAGTGCCTTCTGACACAACTGCCTGGAGAATGAAATGTGGGCTCCAGGCTGACCGGCTCCCAAGCCCAGCCTGGCCCATCTCCCACAGGCCTCTGCCATCCATCACACAGCTGGAGCTAACCTGAACACGTGTAGCCAGAGAGGGGCCTTGTCTTCATCTACTGTCCATGTGCCCACCTGTCTTCCAATGAACACATCCCTGGTGTCTCTGGGGTCTGGACAGGGCCCAGCCCTCTCCTCAGAGCCCCAGCCCCACCTTCCAACACCTTCAGGATAAACTGATTTTTGGAGGTCAGGCAGGTCTCACTGTTTAGCCTGATCCTTATATTCAATTCTCTCTGTTGAAATACCTGGTGTGGTTTCTCTTTTCTCTTTTTTTTTAATGTATTTTTTAATTAATTATTTATTTGGTTATGCCGGGTCTTGGTCGCAGCAGGTGGGCTCCTTAGCTGTGGCATGCAAACTCTTAGTTGGGGCATGCATGTGGGATCTAGTTCCCCGGCCAGGGATCGAACCCGGGACCCCTGCATTGGGAGTGTGGAGTCTTACCCACTGGGCCACCGGGGAAGTCCCTTCTCTTTTCTTGACAAGCCTCTGACTGACACCGAGTATGTCTTTCCCAAACTGTCAACATTCCCCTTCATACTTGTCCTCCTCTACCACCGAGTCTTCCCCATCTCAGACCAGAGCTGCACTTTCCACTGAGGAACTCAAGCCAGGAGCTTGGGCAACATGGAGGGCACCTTCCCCTCCTCACTCCACAGAGCTAACCCATCAACGAGTTGTGCTTACCTCCAACACAGATGCTCCCCCCGCCTCCAACTTTTTATTTTGAAAATTTCTAAATGTGCACTAGAGGGACTTCCCTGGTGGTCCGGTGGTTAAGACTCCAAGCTCCCAACGTAGGGGGCCCAGGTTCGATCCCTAGTCAGGGAACTAGATCCCGCATGCCACAGCTAAGATCCTGCACGCAGCAACTAAGACCCAGCACAGCCAAATTAAAAAAAAAAAAAAAAAAATGTGCACGAAAATTGCAAGAAAGTCAGACAGAGAAAGAGAAATATCACAGGATATCACTCGTACGTGGAATCCAAAAAAGTGATACAAATGAACTTATTTACAAAACAGAAATAGACTCACAGATACAAAAAACAAACTTATGGTCACCAAAGGGGAAGGGGGGAAGGACACATTAGGAGTTTGGGATTAACAGATGCACACGACTATACATAAAATAGATTAAAAAAACAAGGACCTGCTGTATGGCACAGGGAACTATATCCAATACAATAAAAAAAATCCAAAAAAGAATATATTTATAAAACTGAATCACTTTGCTGTATACCTGAAACTAACGCAACATCGTAAATCAACTGTACAATCAGACGTTGTTTGTTTTAAAAAAAAAAAGGATTGCAAGAAAAGTATAAGGGATAGCCACATATTCTTGATACAGATTCACCAGTTTTAACAATTAGCTCTCGCTCTCTCTTTCTAGATAGATAGATAGATATCGATACAGATATTGATAGAAAGTGAGAGTGAGATGACTAATTGTTAAAAACTGGTGACTATATATCGATAGCTATGTATATAGATATCTATAGGTAGAGAGTTGTAAATAGAAAAAGGTCTATTTGAGAACTGCTTGCAGTCATTTTGTGACATTTCACCCTTAATATTTCAACAGACATCTCTCAAGAGCAAGGACATTCTCCTTCACAAGCACAATACCATTATCACACCAGGAAACTTTAAGATCAATATAATACTATAGTCCATATGCAAATTATCCCAGCTGACCCACTAAGGTCCTCGACTTGATATCTTGATTCTATCTCCTAATCACTCTCTCCCCTTCCCATCGCTCCTGCCCTAGACTAGGTCATCATCACTCCCCCACCCTGACTCTCACCCTTGCTGGCCACCACATAATCCATTCTCCTCGTGGCAGTCAGAGTGAACCTTTACACAATGTAAATCAGATCATGTCACTCCCCCTGCTGAAAATTTCCAGTGGTTTCCCGTCCTTCTTAGACCAGAAGGCAAACTCTTGCCATGGCTTCCAACCATTAAATCACATACCTACTTGCTTCTTTTTTTTAATCCTCTCATTAGAATATCAACTCCAACAAAGAGAGATTTTTTCTTTTTCCCCCCACTGCTATATCCCTAGGGCCTAGAACAGTAGCTGGCACAGGTGTTCAATACATATTTTTGAATGAAGGAATGAGCAAGCAAATATATCTTCCCATTAGCCATCGCCCCAACCAGACTCTGAGGTCCCTGAGGGCAGGGCCTGTGTGTGTCATCGCGTTTCCTCAGCACTCAGTACCTGATAGAAGCAAGTATTCCGAAAATGCTTTTAAAATGAAGAGAAGAATACATAATGAAGGGAAGTAATCAGTGATTGCCTGGGGCTGAGGCTGGGAGTGGGAATGGGAATTGACTACAAGTGGGCACAAGAGGTCTTTTTAGGGTGACGTTAATGTTCTAAAATTGGATTGTAAAAAATAAATTTAAAAAAAATTGGATTGTGATGATGGCTGTACAACGCTGCAGAAACAATCACTCAGCATCATTACATCACTTAAAACAGGTGAATTTTATGATATGTAGAATACATCGCAACAAAACTGTTCAACAAAACTAAGCAAAATATGTGTGAGGGACTAAATGAATGCTCCCTAGGAGGTGCCCTGCAGGTCGTCTGAACCTTACTCTGTGCTGCCCTGGGCGATGCTGGGGACACAGTGGTGACTAAGAGAGCTCTTGTCCCTGGCTTCACAGGCCCAGTGACAGCCCAGAGGGTCAGGGCCAGAATGGATGGAGGAGACACAGGCACAGGGGTCAGGGCCAGGATAGGGGAAGCACAGGGGGGACGTCGGAGATGCAGATGGGAGGAATCAGGGAGCATTTCCTAGCGGAGTGAACGCCTGAGCCAGACCCTGAAGGATGATGTTGTCCATGACTGTGACGCTAGTTGTTTTTTTTTAAACACTTTTTCTACCTTAGCATAGGTCTGGCGGGTCTCTGCTGCAGCCCACGAATCCGGCCATTCCGCGGGTTCTGGAGGACAGGGCCACACGGGGGTGCTGTTCTATTGCGCTCGGGGAGACTCTACCGTGATCCCCTTGGTCTTGCAGGAGCCCGAGGTCCGAGCGGCGCCTTGAGGGCGGGGGGTTGTTTGTCGGGGGAATGTTTCCGAACAGACAGAGGCAACACGGGCGGCGAGTGGCCCTTCGTAGGGTGGCGGAAGCACCCCCGGGGAGCAGCACATTGTCAGTAGGGCGGTGTCGGTTCTTGGTCCCCGGGAGGCCGCAGCGCGGAGCTTTCCACAGAGCTCCGGAAAAGGCGGGGCGCTAGGCGCAGCCTGGCGTGGAAGGTTCCGAAATAGTCCTCGCCGCCCGGGGTGGTTCCTGGCGAGGAGGCGCCTGTGGGGCGGAGCTTTCCAAAGCGAACCAGGAAGGGGACGCTGCAGCCGCCAGAGGTGGACGTCGCCCTAAGCAAGCCCTCGGGGGGGGGGAGGGGGCGGGGGGAGTGCATCACGTGGCGTTAGTTGGGACGAGGCCACTGGGTTGGGCTGGTACGTTAACTCCGCGTCCTCGGGTGTATTCTGAGAGAGCCGAAGCTTAGGGGAAGTGAGAGTGGGAGGTTAATCCCAGATCCATGGTCTCTGTGGAGAGGGAAGCGCCGTGAAGAGCGAAGCGCCGTGAAGAGCGAGAGTTTCCATCGGGCGTGGGAGGGAAGATGGGGAAACTGGCTAAGAGTAGTCCGTGGGAGGTCCTCGGGAGATAAGGGATCCGTGGAGCTCCGCGGGCCCAGGGATTGGTGTGCGTGTGTGTGTGTGGGGGGGGTGGGATGGGCACGGAGGGTGTCTGAGGAAGACTGCTCTGGGCACAGCGAAGAATGGTGTTGTGTAAAGATTAGCCTCTGGCATGGAAGACGGTCTTGACTCTGTCCCTGACGTTCTGTGTGCTGCGTGGCCTGTTGCTCCATCAGTCCAGTAGTTCGAATCATCTCCAAGTCCTAGGCCTTTTCTGCCCCTCTCACTCGCCAGCCGTTTGTAGCGGTGAATTGCTGAGATTGCCTCTTCTCTGGCCTTGTGCCTGAACACCAAAGTGACAGCCCCAGACCCACCCCTCACTCACAGCCCAGTGGGGGGCCAGATAGTGACCGCCCAGAATGGTCAGGCCTGGGCTGGGGGAAACAGAGGAGTTAGGGCCGGTATGTGGGAAGTACAGGGCCCTGTGGGAGCCAAGCGGAGCAGAGGGCTCCTGACTCAGCCTGATGGGTCATAGAGCTTTAAAAGGATTGGATGGGGGCGGGGCCTTGGAAGAGGCTCCACTTCTAAGAAGGGGAGATATTTGAGCTGAGGCCTGAAGAATGAGTAGCATCCTATGAAGTGTTAAAAGAGAGGTGACACAGATCTATATGTGACTCATCTGTATGAAATGGCATCCAGGACATTCTATTATTGGGGGAAAATAATGCAAACTGCAATACAAAAAAAAAAAAAAAGGAATGAGTAGCATTCTTCTGGGAAAAGGTGCAGTGTCCGGAATGGGTGTTTCAGGCAGAGGAAATGACATCTGCAAGGGCTTGGATTAAGAAAGCGTGGCTCGGGCTTCCCTGGTGGCACAGTGGTTGAGAGTCCACCTGCAGGTGCAGGGGACCTGGGTTCGAGCCCCGGTCTGGGAGGATCCCATGTGCCGCGGAGCGGCTGGGCCCGTGAGCCATGGCCGCTGGGCCTGCGCGTCCAGAGCCTGTGCTCCGCAGCGGGAGAGGCCACAACAGTGAGAGGCCCTGGGGACCCCCTTGCTGCCCTGGCGAGCCATCTGTCACAGGTCCCCTAGTCCAGGATCCAGCCGGTTGACGGGCTGTAATGTAAACCCTTGAGGGCAGACCCTAGGCTTGTTCCCTCAGAGCCTGGTGGTTCAGTGACTGGCCTTGAGGTCGACCAGAAGCTGGGCTTGAATCCCAGCTCCCCCACTAATCAGATGTGTGACCTTGGGTAAGTGACTCAACTTCCTGATCTGTCAAATGGGGATATAATATTGGGTTTCATGAAACCAATCTCATCATTTTAGAGAGCCATAAAGAATTAAACATATAATTTATATATTATATATTTTAAAATATATAACTTTGTAGATGGTATCAAGGAACCCAAGAAACAACAGAGAGACTTAAAAACGGGCTGCCACATCAGATGACACTTTGGCCTAAGTTATGGAAAATGCAGTTGCTGAAACGTGAATTCGCCAGCTCGAAGATATGCTACTCCAAACGTAATTATTTAAAATTTTAATACTGAAGTTATTAGCAGCAGATTATATGTTTTTTTAATTCCTTGTTTCAAAATCTATAAGAATCAGAAATGGAGTGATTAATTTGGGGTACCCATTAATAACCCACTTCTTGAGTGCTGGGTCAGTGTTACCTGCTCCCATGCTACGACTCAGAGGTGAATATGCAGGGAGACCCTTTTTACTCCCTCTGGTTTTAGGAGATGACTCAGGAGGAAAGGCTCTGTCTCCACACCATCCCCGCTGCACACACACCCTGCCTTCTAGAGGGGCACCATTATATTCTTCCTTTATTGGCTGTCCTTGTATAATACAAATCTGCAAGTTTAGATACAAAAAAATCTGGAAATAAAAGATAGAAAAGTACCCGCCAGGCACCCCCTTCCTTCTTTCCGGACCCCTCCCCAGCGGGCACCGACGTGAGGTAACTGAGCATCTTCTTCCCCTTCCCCTTCCCCCCTACCTGCCTCCTGGGCCCCCAACTTGGCCCCCTACCCCCATGAGACCCTGGCCCAAAGAACATGTGGGCCCCCAAGGGGAGGGGAGGGGTGGTAGGGGTGAGCACAGCATTGGCAGTGAACGCAGCAGGTGGGCAGAAGGAAGCCCTTTGTTTGTGCTGTGTATGGGGGCGGGGGGAATGACCAAACTTGGGGTGGGCACTCGTTTGGGGCCGAGGAGGGCCCCCAGGTGGGCATCCCTCCTCCATCCCACCCAATACTGGAAGGTAGAAGGTCAACAACAGAAACTGGGAAATACAGCTGGAACCGAGGGCACTCGGTGGGATTGTGGCCATCCCCCTGGGTCTGGGTTCCGGGGAGAGGGGGCCATGCCAGCCTAAGTCTGGCAGAGAAATGGGTCCCTTAGCCAGGCTGGGTCCGTCCCTGAATTCCATCCTATCGCAACCTGGGCGTCACAATGTCGGTTCTGTACTGGTCGTGGGAGGTGGTCGAGAGAAGGGTTAGAGAGGTCGTCAGGAGGGTGCAGCCCCAGGGAGCAGGACTGGGGAGAGGTTGGGCCTCCACTCCCAGGTGTGGGGCTCCTGGAGATGATGGGGTGACTCAGGCTACAGTTCAATCTCGAAGGTCTTCTGCAGGTCGCCCGAGAAGGGGTTGGAAGGCTTCTCTACAGCAGGTTTGCCTTCTAACGCTGCCCACTGGGCCTCAAAGGGGTCCAACTCAGGGGCCGGGGCGGGCGCTGGCTCTGGGGGCCAGGGCGCCCCATTGGGGCGAGGACGGGCCTGGCCCCCAGGGGCGCTGGGTGCTGCAGGGGGGGGGAAGGCCCCAGCTTTCCCAATCAGGGTGGCAGGCTGGGGCTGGAGCTGGGCGGCTGAGCAGAAGGCGTTGGCCACCATCTGTGAGGGTGTGATGCCCACCACGGGCACGCGGGGCATGGGCGGGTAGCCCAAGCCCGGGTAGGCGGGCACAAAAGGGGGCTGCATGTGTGGAGGCGGCAGGAACACGGCCACCTGGGCAGGCGCGGCGTCGAAGGGCCCCACGGGGGCGGGGAAGGGCTGCAGGCCGGGGGGCACGGCAGGCACCGAGGCTGCCTGCTGCTGCGCCTTTGCCACCTGGGACACCTCCTCCAGCCACCTCTCGGCCTCCGAAGGGGTCCGCTTGTGCCCAGGCTGGAAGGCAGCTGCAGGGGGCGCGGAGGGCTCACCCCAGGCAGAAGTCCCTGGAGAGAGGAGAGGGGCAGTTAGGGGGCATGGGCTGCAGCAGAGAGAACCCCAGGCTGGGGATCAGACTCTGGACCGGGCTGCCTTGCCGCCTTGCACCCAGCTCTGCTCTTCATTAGCTGCATGGGCTTTGGGCAAATGGCTTGACCATCCTGGACCACAGGTCATGCAGTGCTACGAAAATTCACTTCTGAGATTCTAAGGTCCTAAGATGAAAAGTCTAGGCACGACTGACAATCACCCAGGCCGGCTTCCCTTCTGATTGGTCAGTAGCAAACCTGTTACTAAATATGTTTTAATATCACCCTTGGCTCTAATATTTTGACACTGTATTGTCTTAGGAGGCTAAGATTCTAAGATTGCATGGATCTTCCTCAGAGTGTACTCTTCTAACATAGTGGGTAAGTTTCAGCGTTTTTAAGTTTGTGTTTTCTAAGATTCTAGAGTTCTAAATTTACATTGTTTGTAATTCCAAGGTGCTTCCACGTGTTTAGGATAAGCACGTGGCTCTAAGGTGATTCCTTGGCACTGTTTTCTCAGAGAGCACTCTTTTAAGGTTGCAAGATTCCAAGGTTTCCTGGCTCCAAATCTGTTAGGTTCTAATATCTTGTGATTCAAAGGCTGTAGGTTTCTAGATTTTATGGTTCTAAGACAGCAAGGTTTAAAAACTGATTCCGTGGTTCTAAGGTGACCCCATAATTCTTATGTTATCTCGTGGTTCTAGGATGAACCCGCGGCTCTGAGACAACCCCGTGGTTCTAAGATGATCCATGGTTCTAAGCCTGTGGGATTCCCAGATTCCCAGAGTCTCTGCAGTAGCCCTGAAAGGAGCAGGGGGATGCAGGAGGGGCACTGCAGGGCATCTGCCCCAAGAGAAGGGCTGAGTTTACCTGTTGAGGCTGGCGGTGGCCCTGGTGCTGGCGCTCCAGCACTGGCAAAAGATGAGCTGATCTGTGTACACAGGGCGCTGATGCTGTCGCTGTCACTGGCATTGGGAGGTTCCATCTCAGGCACTGGGAAGTCAGGGAAGGGTGGAGGTCAACGAACAGGCCCAGGCTCTGCCCTTGACCCCATCCCCGCAGGTGGCCCTCACAAGGTATGTGGGTTGGTGGGTCCACTCTGCAGTAACTAAGTGGCCACGGCCACAAAAGTGGTAACTGCGCACACGTGTGTGTGTGCGGCATCTGAGTGGTATGACCGCCAAGTAGCGTGTGACATCTGATGGCAGTCACGGGGATCCCAACCCAAGGAGGACCTCAAGAGCTGTATGTAGCCGCAAACCAGAAGAAATATTTTAAATGCTTGACAATACACATTAATTTTAAAATATGTTCGGGGAATTCCCTGGCGGTCCAGTGGTTAGGACCTGGTGCTTTCACTGCCAGAGCCCGGGTTCAATCTCTGGTCAGGGGACCAAGATTCCACAGGCCGCGTGGCGCGGCCAAAAAAATAAATTAAAAATGTTCAACCACACGTATGACAAGAGCACCGACTAGTCAGAATGGATATTGCCCACGCTGCTGGTCACTCTGGGGATCATCTGTCTTGCTCTGAGTGCGGAAGTGGGGCCCCACCAGGCCTGGCCCATAACGTATGTCATGAGGGCAGAGATGCACCTGTGCCTGCAAGACAGGACACGCTGAGCAGGTGTGGTGGCCTCGTGAGGGCTTAGGATGAGAAAAGGCACCATCCAAGTAAACAAGAGGACCGTCAAGTGTGGCGTGTGACAAGTGCCTGTGACAGCTCAGCGAGCGGCTATCTCCAAGGGAGTGTGTGTGATGCTCCTATGAGCGTCAGAAAGAAACTAGCTGTAGGAGTCAGCAGGTGTGACGTGGGGCTGCCCAGGTGGGACAGTAGGTGGCTTCCAGGTCATTTCTATGATGACTGTGCCTGTTGGTCCAAATGGGTGTGCAGCTTCTGGGGGGTGGCATCTGAGTGTGACTGAAATCCAGGTTGTGGCATCCGATTGTGATTCCCCAGCGTGAGCCAATCTGCCTGCATGATGTACGGAATTCGGCATGAATTAGCCTATGTGACTTGTGATTCACACAAGTTTGTGTGAATCCAGGTGTGTCGTTCGTGAGCGTGTGTTAATCTGTGTGTGTGATTTCTGAATGGGACACCTGGATATGTGCTTTCTTTCCTTCTTTTTTATTGAAATATAGTTGGTTTACAATGTTGTGTTAGATTCAGGTGTACGGCAAAGTGATTCAGTTATACATATATACATATATATATATTCTTTTTCATATTCTTTTCCTTTATGGTTTATTACAGGATATTGAATATAGTTCCCTGCTATACAGTAGGGCCTTGTTGTTTATCTATTTTATATACAGTAGTTTGTATTGGATACGTGCTTTCTAAGTGTGTGTAATGGTAACACCTGGTCCTGCGACTTCCGAGTGTGTGTGATTTTTGATTGCCCATGACTAAGTGTGTGACTAAGTGTGTGTGACACCCGCAGTGGAGTGGGACATCTGCGTGAGTCCATGAAATTTTTTGCGGCAAGTTACATCCAAGCAAGTGGGCAACTGGCTACAGGCACGCGAGGCTCCTAAATGAAGTCTGGGGTGCCTGCCACCTCTCAGGGAGCAGGTGTGGCAGCCCTGGGGGTGTGCTTAATGGCAGGTTACTTAATGAGGACAGCAGATCTGAGGGCGCGTGCAGTACCTGGGGTGCTGCACAACATGGAGTGAGCGTGCGTCATTCTCAACGAGCGTTGGCATCTGCTCAGCAGTCACCTTTTGCAGTAGCCCGGCCTCCTGGATACAGATCAACACCTCCCACACCAGTCCCCAGGGCCACAAGGGGTAGGTGTCTCGGATTTGGCATATGGAAGCAGGAGAGCCGGCCAGACCACATGACTTCACTGACAGCTGGGAGGAAAGGCAGCTCTCCTGCCTGTCTCCCTCGGGCAAACCATAGTTCCATGCCACCTCTCTCCTCCCTTTTTTCCATGGCATACATTTTTAAATCACAACCTATGCCATCTCTCTCCTTTTCCCGGTCCATGGCAGACATTAGTAATCAAACATGATGCTTTTCTCCCATTGAACTCTTTGCTCACCTTACCCCTCACCAGTAGAGCCCTGTGGCTCTACTGGCCAAATGCTGAAAGAAAGGACTGGTCCTTGCAATTCCATCTTCCCTCGAAGACATGGCTAATCGGTGATGATGGGTGCTGCCTCTGCACAATCCTTTACCCAGAAGCCACATCACGAATCCATCACTATGCACCCTGACCCCATGATCCCCATGCTCACTTGTGCCCTTCACCTCATGTTTCCATAAGCCAAATTCTGAGAGTCATCTCTTGGGCAAAACATAATACTCCTGCTCTCTCTTCTCGCTTGCCCATGGCAAACTTTGCTAATCAGTCATGTGGTGTGCCACCTCGCTCTTTTCTCTTGCTCAAGTCAGACACTGTAAGGAGATCATGATGTCTGTCATCACTCTATTCTCCCTGCCCTAGGCAGACATTGTTAATCACAATTCTTCTTTCCTCTGAACCTGGATCCTCGACCTGGCCAGATCTCATGGCTCTACTGGCCAAAAGCTTGGAGGGAGCATTAGCCTATGGTGCCTCAGTCTCCTCTTGAGCAAAAACATGGCATCTGGGCAGCTTCTCTCCTCTCCCTTGCCCATGGACGTCTTGCTAATCAATCATGACATATGCCACTGCTCTCATGTCCCTAACTACAGCAGACAGTACTAACTGATCGTGAGTTACGCCACTTTTTTGCTATCCCTTGCCTGGAGCAGACATTGCTAATCGATCACAGCTTACACTACCTCTCTCCTCTCCCAGACTGATGGCAGACATTGCTAATTGATCACATGTTGCTCCTCTCCTTTGCCTGTGGCAGGCAGTGCTAATTAATCATGGTGTGACCTAAGTGTCCATCGACAGATGAATGGATAAAGAAGATGTGGCACATATATATACAATGGAATATTACTCAACCATAAAAGGAAACGAAATTGAGTTATTTGTAGTGAGGTGGATAGACCCAGAGTCTATCATACAGAGTGAAGTAAGTCAGAAAGAGAAAAACAAATACCATATGCTAACATATATATGAAATCTAAAAAAAAAAAAAAAAATGGTTCTGAAGAACCTAGGGGCAAGACAGGAATAAAGACACAGACGTAGAGGATGGACTTGAGGACATGGGGAGGGGGAAGGTTAAGCTGGGACGAAGTGAGAGAGTGGCATGGACATATATACACTACCAAATGTAAAACAGATAGCTAGTGGGAAGCAGCCGCATAGCACAGGGAGATCAGCTCGGTGCTTTGTGACCACCTAGAGTGGTGGGATAGGGAGGGTGGGAGGGAGAGGCAAGAGGGAGGGGATATGGGGATATATGTATACATATAGCTGATTCACTTTGTTATACAGCAGAAACTAACACAACAATGTAAAGCAATTATACTCCAATAAAGATGTTAAAAAACAAAATCATGGTGTGTACCACCTCTTCTCTATCTTGCTTACAACAGTCAGTGGCATTGATCCCGATGTTCCCTCCTGCTGAGCCCCAGGCTCACCTGTGCCCTTCACCTGGAAGTCAGTGCGGCGCTGCAGCGTGGATGGCAGCTCATTCAGCCGTAGGCTCAGCTGCCGTTTGAAAGGTGAGTTCTTCTGGCTGAGCGCCGGGAACCCACGGAAGGAGCCCTGGCGAACCAGCTGCTCCAAGGGGGCATGGCGCCGGGGGATGGCAGCCGCAGTGGTGCCTGCAGCCACTGGGGTGCCCGCCTCACCCTTCTCGCCAGGGGATGTGGTGGCCGGTGTTGGGGACACGTGCCCAGGCTGGGCAGGGCCAGGAGCCGCACTTGGGGCAGCTGCTGCCTCTGCTGGAGACATGGGTGAGACAGGTGGTTAGATAGCTCACCTTGGCATTGGAGGCCTCTCCTACCCAGACCCCTTGATTGTTTTCCAATGCTGCCTTCCTCACCCAATGTGCCCTGCCCTCAAGACAGGCTGGTCAGTGCCCCCAAATGTCGCTCCTCCCCACCCAAGCCAGGACCACTTTCCCCAGGAGGCCCGTGGGGGAGTCGTCACCCACCCTGACCCTCTGTGTGTCTCAAGCTTTCTGTCCCCCATCCATCTTCCTCTGCTGCTTCTGCTATGTCTCCCTCTGAGGCCTTCTGTCTCCCTTTCTAATTAATTTAACAAACACTTTTTGGGTGCATGACCAAGGTATCAGGCATTGTTCCAAGTGCCTTGCAAGTATTAACTCATTCAGTCCTCACAACCACCCAGTGAGGTTGATATTGTCATTATCCCCATTTTACAGATGTGGAAACTGAGGCCCAGAAATGGCAAGTGACTTGCCTGAGCCATAGTGTGAAGGAAGGGGCAGGCTGACTCCAGAGTCTGAGTTCCAGATGACTGCGCTAACCTGTCTCTCCCTCTGGCCTGGTCTCTCCACATCATGCTGTCTTCCTCCATCATTCCATCTGCTCTGCTCTCTGTCACCTCCCACCATTCTTCCCACCTCAAGTACCTCCTCCCTTCTTCCAGTTGCTACCCATTGTTCTAGACCCAGCTTGGCATACTTCTTCCTCTGAGGAGTTTTCCAGATTGTTTCAGCCCCTCAGCCTGGGCTCCCTCCCCTCTGGGACTGTTCTCAGTCCTCTGCAGGTACCTGATCTCCCCACTCAGCATAAGAAGCGGGCTCTTCAATGGCAGGGTCTCCCCACCCCTGCCAATACACAAACACACAGCCATCCTCCCATCAAGGCGTCACCTGAGCCGCAGCCTGAATGCTAGTGAGGTTAAACTCAGGCCCAGAGAGGGCAGGGAGGGTGCCCAGCGCTTCTCCCACCTTCCATGAGGGGGCGGTGAGGCTCTTACCCAGGCCAGGCTGGGGGCAGTGGAAACAGCCCGGGACACGTTGGAACTGGGAAACCACCTCTGCCCCCCACCACCTTGGGCTTCAGGAAGTCTCCTCCCCTCTCCGGGCTCCAGTTTCCCCAACTAAACCTGGGATAAACATCCCTCAGCTGCCTTCCCAGGTCTCCCGAGAGGGTCAGTTGAGGCAGTGAATGTTCAACGCTCTGGAATCCCACAAAATCTTGGTAAACAACTTTGTGGAAAGTGCACTGCTCCGTAACTCCTGAACTGAAGAGACCTCTTTGTGAACGTGCGGTGCCTTGAGACTGTGAATCAGCGCATCATCGGCAAAACACTGTCACGTGTTCGGCAAATCATATACCACACTTTGTAAACTCTCATTTTTGCGGTGCAGGCTCTCAAGTGCTTTCTACAATGCAAAGTACCTGGAACGTATAATATCCTTTGGAAACAGCAAAATCCTTTGCAAACTCTAAAGCATGTGACATTCTTTGTAAATTTGAACATCCCATATAAATAGTAAACTCAGTGTACTCAGTGTGTTCTTTGGCAAACAATAAAATATCATATAGGGACTTCCCTGGTGGTGCAGTGGTTAAGACTCCGCACTCCTACTGTAGAGGGCCTGGGTTCGATCGCTGGTCAGGGAACGAGATCCCGCATGCATGCCGCAACTACGAGTCACATACCACAACTAAGGAGCGCGCCTGCCACAACTAAGGCCCAGTGCAACAAAATAAATAAATAAATATATATATAAGACAGGTTTTCACTAAAAAAAATATATGTACTTAAGCCCTCCGTTAACTATACTTTGTAATCTGCTTTACCAATAATAAAATTCTTTATAAATTCTAATAGATGATGTAAACAGCAAAATATTTTGTAAGCTGTGAACTCCTTAACTTTGTCAAGAGGTTTGTAAATGGTCACATAGTTTACCAAGAAAAACATATGTTGTAAACGCTAATATTCTAGCAAGTGATAAAACTTGTTTTCCTAAACTTTTTAGCTAGAAATATTTTAAACTTACAGAAAAGATGTAATAATGGAACAAGGAGCACACATGTTCTCTTGTGTTAACTTGTTACCCTTGTTAACTCTTAACAAGTGTTAACTTGTTACAGTATTTGATCTGTCTCTCCTTCCATAATCTTTTTTCAGTATGATTTAAGAGTACGTTGCATACAATAAACAAGGCATGGAAACAACCTAAATGTCCATCAATAGATGAATGGAGAAAGAAGATGTGGTAATATATATATACAACGGAATACTACCCAGCCATAAAAAAGAATGAAATAATGCCATTTGCAGCAACATGGATGGACGTGGAGATCATCATACTAAGTGAAGTAAGTCAGAAAGAGAAAGACAAATATCATGTGATATCACTTATATGTGGAATCTAAAAAAAAGATACAAATGAACTTATTCACAAAACAGAAATAGACTCACAGGCATAGAAAACAAATTTACGGTTACCAAAGGGGAAAAGGGAGCGGGGATAAATTAGGAGCTGGGGACTAACGGATGCACACTACTGTATATAAAATATAAATATAAATACATATAAACAACAAGGAAAAGAAAAAAGAGTAAGCTGCAGACAGCTTACCCAACCCTAAAACCTTCAGCATGTACCTAAGAACAAGGACAGCCTCCTACTGAACCACAGGACAACTTCTTACTTGGGAAGTTTAACATGGATATGATACTGTTAGCTAGTCTACAGTCCACATTCTAATTTCCCCAACTGGTCTACTCAGGTCCTTTATGGATGTTCATATATATATATATTTTTCAATGTATATATTTTATATACATATATTCAATATATATATATTGAATTGAATGTTGAATATGTATCTATAGATACAATATCCATGATTCAATTCAGTATCGCACGTTACATTTATTAATATTTGTCAAATCTCTTCAGTCTCCTTTATCCTGAATCCCAATTCAGGATTCTTTGTAAATTCTAAGCAGTGTTTTCCAAAAATGTAAAAACTAGAAGCAGTTAAAAAAAGTAAAATTAAATTAAAAATTACATTTTGACTCAGCACACAATACACGTAAGTTTAAAAACCACGGTTTGAGAACTTATAAACTATTTGCCTTTGACCTAGAATGTTAGAGTTCACCAGGTATTTTTCAAACTTTCATGATGGCCACCCAGAATAAGAAATACCATTAACATGGTAACCCGTTCCACACACACACACACACACACACACACACACACAGATATACTGACATAAAAGTACGTTGAACTATACTTACCCTTACTACATTCAATTACTCTGATATTTTCTATTCTTTTCCATTTCATTTCCTAAAATGCTAACCACAACCCAGCAAGCTGACTTCACAACCCATTAACAGGGTGGATACACAGTTTGAAAAGCCTGGGAACATCCCTGGGTTAGCAGATAATAAAGCTCTCGGTGAGCTTTGCTGGGATTTGTGGCCAACAGAATATTGCCCAGAGGACTCCTTAAACTGAAGTACACTTTATAAACTGTAACCAAACTTTGTGGTTGGTGCTTTGCTTTGTATTTTTTACTTAAAAAAATCGGGGTGGGGGGGGCTTCCCTGGTGGTGCAGTGGTTAAGAATCCGCCTGCCAATAAGGGGACACGGGTTCGAGCCCTGGTCCAGGAAGATCCCACATGCCGCAGAGCAACTAAGCCCATGCGCCACAACTACTGAGCCTGCGCTCTAGAGCCCACAAGCCACAACTACTGAGCCCGTGTGCCACAACTACTGAGCCCATGCACCACAACTACCGAGCCTGTGCTCTAGAGCCCACGAGCCACAACTTCTGAGCCCGTGTGCCACAACTACTGAGCCCATGCGCCACAACTACTGAGCCTGCGCTCTAGAGCCCACAAGCCACAACTACTGAAGCCCATGCACCTAGAGCCTGTGCTCCGCAGCAAGAGAAGCCACTGCAATGAGAAGCGCGCGCACCACGGCGAAGAGTAGCCCCCGCTTTCCACAACTAGGGGAAAGCCGGTGCACAGCAATGAAGACCCAACACAGCCAAAAATAAAATAAATTAATTTTAAAAAATTTTGTTGTTTTGGGTTTTGTGTGTGTGTGTTTCCCTTTTGCTTTGTAAACTGTAGAGCCCCTGTACCTACCTCTGCAGCTCTCCCCCAATCTGGATCCCTTGGCCCCACCCTGGGACCATTCGGTGCCCAGCCCCGCCCCGCCCCGCCCCGCCCTCCGGGCAGCGCCCACCTTTCTTTTTGTCAGCAGCCTCTCTCTCAGCCGGCCGCCCACCCCCAGACAGGCGGAAGGAGCCCTCCCGGGCGAAGCTGGTGCGGCTGGCATCAAAGGCAGCCGTGACTCCGCACTCCTTCTCCCGCCGCTGTTTCCGCTCTAGGCAGGCCGCAAACGCACACCCCACTGCGTGGCTCAGCCTCTCGCCCTGTGGGAAGAGGTTGGGGCAGGATTAGCGACGTTGTGCAGTGCAGACCGGACGCCGGGAGCCCCGGGGTCCAGCAGCTGGATGCTGGGTGACTCCGGCTGAGTCCCTTCACCTCTCTGGGCCTCAGTGCACATCTGCAAAATGAGGGACAAAAGACAGAGACAAGAGTGTAGTACCGTATGGCTCCATTTTTTTTTTAAGATTTTTTTTTGATATGGACCATTTTTTTAAAAGTCTTTATTGAATTTGCCACAATATTGCCTCTGTTTTATGGTTTGGTTTTTTGGCCGCAAGGCATGCGGGATCTCAACTCCCCAACCAGGGATCAAACCCACACTCCCCGACATTGGAAGGTGAAGTCTTCCCTGGGCTGCCGGGGAAATCCCTGGGTGGGTCCACTTACATGAAGTTACAGAATGGGCAAAACTAATCTATGGTGAGAAACTTCAGAACGGTGGTTGTTTCTTAGGGGTGGGCATAGGGACTGACTGAGAAGGAGTTTGAGGGGACAGTCTGGGGTGGTGGCAATGTTCTAGATCTTGATGGGGGGGTTGGGTTATACACGTGTATACAGTTGTCAAAACCCAGCAAATGTACACTTAAGGTTTGTGGTCAGCATGTATTTCGCTTCAAAAGAAAAAGAGCTGGAGACAAATATGAATTCTGCTTAATAGTATGCATGCTGAAGTGTCTGGGGGAAGTATTCTGATGTCTGCGACTTTGAAATGCATCCAAAAATAAGATGGAGAGATAAGTGATATAGTAAGCCCAGACAAATGTTAATGGCAGGATCTGGGTGGGGGGTGTCCAGGTGACTGGTGACTGTGCAAGTCTTTCGACATTGCTACATGCTTGAAAATATTTTGTAGTAAAGTATTGGGGTTAAAAACAACAACCCCTGTTTCTTGAGTGCCTACTTGAGAGACGCCAAGGCCAGAGAGCCTGGGATTGATGCTGGCTTCCCACTTCCCAGCTATGCGATCTGAAGAAAATCACTTCCCAGTACCCGACTCTCCTCATTTGTAAAATGGGGGCTCTAACAGCACCCACTTCACAGGGTTGTTGCAGGAATTAGGTGAACAAATATATGCAAGGCATGCAGCACAAAGCCAGGCACAGGGAAACTCACATATGTGTCAGCGGAAATCTTGTGTAGCCCCGGGCTGAGCCCTGATTTGCATCCTTTTATGGAATCCTCACAACAGTGCCAGGAGGTGGACAATCTTATGAACCCATTTGACAGATGAAGAAATTAAGGTTCAGTCAACATGCCCATTATAACGAGTGACTGGCAGAGTTGGGATTCTAATGAGGTATGTCTGACTTCTGTTCCCTAAACAAGATGCTCAGCCACCTCTTAAAGTTGAACTTGGGGACAAAAATCCTCAACAAAATGCTAGCAATCTGAACCCAGCAGAATATTAAAAGAATCAAGTGAGATTTATTCCAGGAATGCAAAGTTGGTTTAACATATGAAAATCAATCAACCACATTAATAGAATGAAGAAAAATCCCCACATGATCATCTCGATTCTCACAGAAAAGGCATTTGACAAAATCCAGCACCCTTTCATGATAAAACACTCAACAAAGTTGGAATAGAAGGGAACTTCCTCAACCTTATAAAGGACATTTGTGAAAAACTCACAGGACTTCCCTGGTGGCACAGTGGTTAAGAATCTGCCTGCCAGTGCAGGGGACACGGGTTCAAGCCTTGGTCTGGGAAGAACCCACATGCTGCGGAGCAACTGAGCCCGTGTGCCACAACTACTGAGCCTGCGCTCTAGCGCCCACGGACCACAACTACTGAGCCCGCGTGCCACAACTACTGAAGCCCGTGCGCCTAGAGCCCGTGCTCCGCAGCAAAGAAAAGCCACCGCAATGAGAAGCCTGAGCACCGCAACAAAGAGTTGCCCCCACTCACCGCAACCACAGAAAGCCCGCGCGCAGCAACGAAGACCCAACGCAGCCAAAAACAAACAAATAAATAAATAAAACAAAAAAAAAACAGTGTGGTACTAGCATAAGGAGAGACATATAGACCAACGAAACATAACTGAGAGCTCAGACATAGACCCACACATCAATGGTCAATTGATTTTCAATAAGGTGCCAAGACCATTCAGTGAAGGAAGAACAGTCTCTTTATCAAGTGGTGCTAGAACAACTGGATACAATATGCACGTGAAAAAAAAATGAAGGTGGACTCTTACCTCACACCATTTACAAAAATTAACTCAAAATGTATCAGAGACCTAAATATAAGAGCTAAAACTATAAAACTCTTAGAATGAGACATGAGGTAAGTCTCTACAACCCTGGATTTGGCAATGAATTCTTAGATATGACACCAAAAGCAGAAATAACAAAAAAAATTGATAAATTGAACTTCATCAAAATGTGTACATTTGCACATCAAAGGACACTATCAAGAAAGCGAAAAGATGGGGCTTCCCTGGCAGTGCAGTGGTTAAGAGCCTGTGCTTGCAATGCAGGGGGCGCAGGTTCAATCCCTGGTCGGGGAACTAGGATCCCACATGCCACGGGGCCAAAAAAAAAGGAAAGTGAAAAGACAACCCACAGAATGGGGGAAAAGTTTTGCAAATCACGTAACTGATAAGCATCTAGTATCCAGAATATATAAAGAGCTCTTACAACTTAACGGTAAAAAGACAAACAACCCAATTAAAAATGGGTACAGGATTTGAATAGATATTTCTCTAGAAAAGATATACAAATGGCCAATAAGCACAGGAAAAGATGCTCCACATCATTAGTCATTAGCAACATACAAGTCAAAACCACAATGAGATACCACTCACACCTACAGGATGGCTAGAATAAA